TGATAAAAAGAGTCTCTAAGTCTGTGTTACATGTCCTCTGTAGCACCGTGACATCTGTGCACCAACCTTCATGTATGTAGAGACAGATTCCACCCCCTCTCGTTTTCCCAGACAGCTCCATTACGCGATCCGCTCTGTACACCTGGAAGCCCAGTACTTGTATCGTGCTGTCCGCGATGGAGTCGCTGAGCCAGGTCTCTGTGAAACACAAAGCAGCAGAGCGTGCAAAGTCAAAGTTAGTCCTGTTGACAAGAAGAATTTCATACATCTTGTTGACCAGGGAGCGGAGATTTGCTAGGTGGATAGACAGGAGTGGAGTCCGGGTCCCTCTCTGGCGTAGCCTCACTAAGGCGCCCGCATGCTTGCCACGGCGGCGTTTTTTCCAGGTCCCATATATGGCAGCTGTGCCTCTGATCAGAATGTCCATACAGCATTCTTTGTTCGCACAAATTGGAGAAAGGTAGTTCGGTGTGAGTTGTCCGATATTTAACAGTTCTTCTCTGGTAAAAGTAATCCAGGATGGGTTGCAAAAGACCAAGAAAACAATAAACACAAGAGAGCGCGAGTAACCAAGGCTGCCATCATTGGCACAATAAGAATAATATCACATAAATGTATGTAGTGGAGTAAAAGTACAACCCTTGCTTCTGAGATGTAATTGAGTGGAAGGTGCCTAAAATTTAAATGCTTAAGTATTTTGAGTAACTTGTACCTAAGTACTGAACTTAAGTTGAGTACTCAGCTACATACTGGAGTTACAAAATGTTACTTAAAATTACAAAAGTATTGTCAGTGAAATATACTTGAAGTATCAAAGTTAACACATTTATATATTATTGGTTTCTAATTATTGATACATTGTGTTCATCACTTTAATGTTGCAGCTGGTAAAGGTGGAGCTAACATTAACCACCTTATGTGCTGTTTTGATGAGCATGCATTTAATAACTATTATTTCAATGTCTTTATACGTATACTGCTGAGTAGCTTGCGAATTTCTCATTCAGGATCAATAATGTCTCATGATTATACTGTATTGTGATTTATTAAATTTTATTATGGAAAGTAACTAAAACTCTCAAATAAGTGGAGTAACAAAGTACCAATATTACCTTTTTACATGTAGTGAAGTCAAAGTATGAAGTAGCAGAAAACTGAAGTACTCAAGTAAGGGTACAAATGGCTCAAAATTGAGCTTAAATACCTTAATTGAGTAAATGTACTTAATTACTTTTCTAAAAAGTTTAAACCCTTCCTTTATTGAGTCAGCTTTGTTATTATTCTCATTATTATGGTTTCAGAATGGTTTTAGACCTCGTATGTAGTGATGTGTAAAGCTGTTACTACATAAGTTACAATACAATTAGTATAAGTATGGTTAATCTCAAGAGAAAATCAATGATGATTGCTAATTAACATTAAATTACTGATATAATTTAGTTGCATTGGAAAATACTTCCGATAAATTATTATTATTCCCATTTGGGGGAAATTAAGCAATGTCACCTTAATACTGTGTAATGCAAACATAGTCATAAGTAGCCAGTGTTATGGCTTTCATGGGTTATTTCAGACAAAACTCAACATTTCCTCAAAGAGCCAGAGTATACGCTGCCTATAACTGCAGGTTGTTATTGTTTAGAGGATTTGGGGTTTTGTCCTGAATTAATGATATGTAAGAGGAAGGTCTGCAGGGAACTCTGTTCGCAGGTTCATGGTAGTCAATTACTGAGTGAATATCTCTGCCAAAAACCTCAAGCAGTGTTTGTAGTTTTAATATGTTTCAAATATGCGCCTTAGTGTGAGAGGTTCAGCAATATCCAGGGGGTAGCATATCATGGCCTTCAAACAAAGGGTAAGAGTGCATTAGCAGTGATAACTTGGATATCACCAAGCCCAGTATATTTTCTATTCTTCCAACAAAATTGACATGGTAGGGGATTTCTGCTATTATTTTCTGCTATAACACAGATTACTGGGAAAGTACCGTAATGACCAAGCTTCCGCCATCAAGAACATTCCCACTGTTTTACCCTAAGAAGAACTGACAGCAACATGGTCCTTTAAACCTCTTAGTAGTTGGAGTTGTCTGTTGGAGTAGTCTGAGAAATTAGACAATCTTAAAACATTTATAAGCAGTGTTGCTGTATTGGAAAACCTTCTGGAATTTCAAGTTTAATAGAAACAGCTCTGAGTCAGAGTTGCCAATATCAGAGAATAAATTTGTGGCATAGCCTCAAAATACAAGTCTTGTGGTGTCCTATGTTCATATTTCAGAGGAAAAGAACATTTCATCTCACCCCACCAGTGACTGTAATTTGTCTTAATTCAAACAAATAATGAGAACAGTGAGGCACTGTGAGGCAGTCTGTGCCCTGGAGAACATGGTGACTGGTACTGTATGTCCCTAAGGTGGAAATCCCACTGGTCTCTGTATTAAAGAGGCAGCTTGATATCATATGATCACTGGAACTTACTCAACCTTGTGTGTGTAATGCAGGCCAATAATGGTTAATAATTATTTACAGTGGTGATCTGTCTGGAATTTTGGTAAATGCCTGCAATTGACAAGCAGTGTATCAGGGAAGGGAGAAAACTGCAAAGATTTTACCAAATTAACCATACTCAAGTGAATTTGAACCACATGAACCCTAGGTCTGTTTTTACTTAATAGGACACAGTTATTTCCTCCAGCAAATCCCTGGGTCTGATATACAGTGGGTACGGAAAGTATTCAGACCCCCTTAAATTTTTCACTTTTTGTTATATTGCAGCCATATGCTAAAATCATTTGTTCATTTTTTT